CCAAATATCAAAGAGAAATTAAAAATGCATGCCGTGGAAGAGTTCAGGTCTTCGGAGGTTAAACAAGAGAGAAAAGTGTAAAAATGTTCATGCCTGTCTGAGTATGTAGTGTGTAGTGAGGCGTTTTACAGCCGTAAAACACCTATAATAATTGTAAAAAATAAAGTTGACTACTTGGTTTCACCTACCATGATTTCACTTATCGCAGGTTATTTTTAGAAGGTAAATCCCGCGACAAACGAGGGACCAACCACTGTAAAGGAGTTTTCTGTATTAATTTTTTAACCACACATTGAATTTTACCATTTACCATTTATAGAAATATCTGTTTAAAACTGGATTATTTATTGGCAGAAAATTATTTATTTACTTTAAAAAACAGTGTGTAAATGTGCAGTTCAGAGCCGATATGAGGCTTGAGCAGTGCAAGATTAAATAAAATACTTATTTTTTCAGATTTTTTTCTCTGGAAATGTATGCAACTTTTAATAACCAATAAACAATAATGACATTCATTAAGCAATGAATGTAAAGTAAGTAAAGCAATATATTTCTGTCCTGTAGACGTCTCGGTTGACGAGAGATCAGGCAGTAGACGTCATCACTATCAGCAGTTGGCCTGTGGTTTGGGCACATTTTGTGTCATTTTGGTGTTGGGCATCATAGCAGTCACAGTATACAGTAAGTATGAAGTATACATACACTCACTTTAGAGCTCAGGCAGATTTTAAAGCCTTTTTTTTTTTTTTTTTTTTTTTACAAATTAACAGTCAAACTTAAACTAATTTCTGTTAGTATTTGTAAAAGGAAAAAAATGTCATTTCTGGAAAAAACTAATTACTGAAGAGAAAAATGCAAAAGATACATTTTAATGAATACAATTTTGACTACATGTAATATTTTTGTGATTAGTTTTTTATCTTTAGAGTCAACCTTCCACAAAAAAAAGATGCAACACTGAAATGATTTCACACAAAATCTGTGTATATGTGATTTGAGATACAATAATAAGCAATATTCTATAATAACAGTGAATGCAGCGTTTTTAAGACAATCCATAAGAAAAAAAACATGTATGATGTGACCTAACGTGAGACTCTACTCTGTTAGAAAAACAGGTGATGAACCTGACTGCAGAAAACCACAGCCTTAGAGAGAAAAATGAGCAGTTGGAGGCTCAGAATAAGAAGCTGGAGACAAAGAAGGAAAATCTAACAGAACAAATACGTGGCATAATGATATCATGGAACGAGCTCAATATTAATCAAGCTCAGCGGAGCATTGATACCTACTGTCCCAAAGAAAATAACAGTATGTTCCAGTTATATCATGTACAAAAATACCAAATTTAACAGAAATATGCAGTGATGTTTATTAACTGAGCTCTATCCTTGCAGACAGAATATGTAAGCCTTGTCAGAATGGATGGGATCATGTTGAGTCCAGCTGCTATGCAGTTAATGATGTTAACCGTGATCAATGGAAAACCTGGGAAGAAGCTCGAGAAAACTGCAGAGGAAAGATTTCAGATTTACCTGTTGTTATTAATGAAGAAGAAAAGGTACTGAGAAAACTGTGGGACACTTTATTACAGACTTCATGAAAATAAAAATGTAATTTCTTTAGCTTGAAAGCTTTCTTAGAGCAAATTGTTTAAATATCTCTGACAACTTTCTCTTTGTCCTCAGAAAACTGTCAGTGAAAAGAGTTGGACATATGATGGAAACAAAGGATACTGGATTGGTCTGAGAGTTGAAGATGGGAAATGGAAGTGGCTGGATGGAAGGAATCTGACTAATAGGTAAGAGACACTTTGAATCAATAGAAATGTCAAGTATTTCCAAAATGTGTGATAAATCAATTACAGTGTACCAATGTCCATCAGCCTTGAGCAGATTTGTTGATTTCCTCAGCTCCTGGATTAACCAGCCTCCTTCTGATGGTCACTGTGCAATCTCTGTCCAAAACCAAGGATTTAAATCAGTGAGCTGTAATGAGAAGAACCGATGGATCTGCAAAAAGAAAGCTTTGTCTGTTTGAATACTGCAGTAAAAATATCATGACTGGTGGAGATTCTAAAATACAAAAAAACAATGATATTACTATTAATGAAATCTTTAAATAGATTTTTTTTTTAAATTGAGTTTAATTAAAATATGTAGACACAAAAAAAGTTTAACAAAACTGTACTGATTTTGTTTGCCCAGCAGAGGGCACTGCATTACTTCCCATCAAAGACAGTGGTTGTCTAAAGTATCTGTATTCTGGCATTTCTATATTTAAGTGACAATTATTGTTGTAAAAAAAATCAACCAACCAACCAAAGAAACAAACAAACAGTACTGAACAAAATAAGCTGAACTTCCTGTTCTTCGCTGTTACTCAATGGCAGATCTTGACAGTGTGACTGATGACGGAAGTCTAAATGTAGTGACGGCTCTCCTCCTTCCACATCTGAATGTTGTTCTTAACTTGATTAAAACCATCCATTCATCCATTCTCTGCCGCTTATCCTTTTCACGGTCGCAGGGAGGCTGGAGCCTATCCCAGCTGTCTTGAGGCGAGAGGCAGGGTACACCCTGGACAGGTCGCCAGTCTGTTGCAGGGCTAACACATAGACAACCATTTGCACTCACATTCACACCTATGGGCAATTTAGAGTTTCCACTTAACCTATCCCCACTAACTGCATGTCTTTGGACTACTGGAGGAAGCTGGAGTACCCGGAGCGAACCCACGCCATCATGGGGAGAACATGCAAACTCCTCACAGAAAGACCCCGGACTGATGGTGGAACAGAACTCAGGACCTTCTTGCTGTGAGGCAACGGTGCTAACATGGTGGATGATGAACACAGGTCAAAAGGGTCAACACACACTACCAGTCCACTCTCCTTGAGGCTTCCACAAAATTCAGACAGAATCCACACATTCCCAAATCCAAACTAGAATCACCTCACTACTCCGTGTCAGGCAATCTCCACACAAACCTGGTCACAGGTA